ATTGTTCATGGCCCCTGCTGATTTCATTAGGGAGGACTGAGAACCTTTCTGCTTACACAGCAGATAAGCAGAGATGATTTCCGAGCTGTCCATATAAGTGAGAAGAAAAGGAGTTCAGTTAACAAAGCAACATGTACACCAAAGCATTCGGCTGGAATGCTGGGCCGCACCATAACAATTGTGAGGATGGTGTGGTAGGGCAGGTGGGCAGCACTTCATTCTGTGACATACACCAAACAGTGACAATGAGAAGCACACATTTGCCAGCTGTTGTGGAAGCTATAAAGACACAGAATACTACGTTGTAATTAAAAGCAGTGGATTTAGAGTTTTAGCTGTTTGTTGAAAACATATGTGCAGCCACATTTTAGCAAGCAATTTACTTTTTTTTCTATCTCTTGCTAATCTGTAAATTTGACACAATCATAATACCTAATTCACAAGGAATACATTTGTGATTTTGTTTGACTTGCCTAAGGGATGCAAGACATATTTGCCTCTATTATGATGTGTCGTTCAGACAATCCTAAGGTCTCTTCCAATTAACAACATTGAGTTTAATATCATTAATCATTCTCATTTTGTATTTCAGGAACTTGAGGCTCAGAGAAATGGAACTCCACAAGGACACTCGAGAGACTGAATTTGAACTCCCTTTCTATCGGAACTCAGAATATATGCATTGACAACGGATGGCTCTTTTACATTCTAGGAGCCCAGTTGGCATAGTGGTTACACATCAGGCTGTTAACCACAAAGCCAGCAGTTTGAAACCGCCAGCCAAAAGATAGGGCTTTCTACTGCTGTACAGAGTTCCAGTTTTGGAAACTCACAGGGGCTCTTCTAGCCTGTCCTATAGACTCGAGGGAGTGGGTTTGGTTTGGGTTTTCATGCTACTCAACGTTTTTAAGCTAGAAGACTGCAGCGATTCTCACCACTGGGTTTGGACCTGTGAGAAGGGAAGCGGTGTACTGTATGCACTAGGGGTGTCATTTGCTGAGGGTCCCTGGGTCCTATTGAATAGAGCATCCAACATGGAGTAACCTTGGACAATCAAAAGGCTCACAAGAAGGCCTCCAAGAATGAAGAAGTAAACAACAATATGGTGGACAAGAAGGAAACCTAAACTGGCCAGAATCCAAACTATTGGACTAAACACTTGAAGTGGCACCCCTTATCGGATTGAACACCCAAGACCACACCAATAGCTATACCTCACCCACCTCCCCACCCCAGCTCCACAATGCTATAAGCATCCAGCTAAGAGCCCAGAGGGTAGAGCTGCTGACCGCTGACATGGAGCAGAACTTGCCCTCCCTCCCTCGCTCTTGCTGGGAAGTCTTGCCTGTTTTCCTTTACTTGCTTTTGATATGTGAATGCCCATTACCATATTTGATATGTGAATGCCAAATTGATATGTGAATGCTTTTGATATGTGAATGCCAAATTGGTTTAAAGACTGTTTGGCTCATAGAGGGTGTTGTGCTCATGAAAGAACCTGGCCTGGTCACTGTGCGAAGCTGAGAGACTGCAAGGTGGCTGCTCCAGTGCATAAGCCGAATGATTCCTAAGCTCTGTCTTTGGCACTGTCAGAAGGTGTACCTTTTCTTCCTACTTGTGCCCAAATTATTATGATGAACCAGGGTATTCAGTTGGCATCTTAATATCATTAATTGGAAGAGACCTTAGGCAAATATGTTTGCCTCGTGGATAAAAAAATCAAA